TCGCTTGTTTTCATTTTTCGGCGGTTAACAATGTTTGGGTCGCGGTCGGTCGCGTAACAACAGTTCGTTCGTCGGCGTTTTCGTCTCAGCGCGTGTTTTCCGGCCGCGTACGTTTGAACGGCGGCGGCGGTCGGTGCGAGCGCGTCCCCCCCACCAAGGTCCGGGCCAGGTACGTCGGGTGTGTCGGTCGGGGCGCGCTTGAGGTCTTGCACGTGTATGTGCCGATACCATTTCCCCGAGCGGCTGCGGAGGTCCACGATGACGGGTGAAATAATGCGGCGTATTTCTAGCGGACCAATAAACTTTGGCGCGAGCTTGGCGTTAAACGCCGCTTTTTTGTTGGAGAGCGGGCGGTCCCGCTTCCACACCCATTCCCCGATACGCGGTCTCTATTCCCTGCGGCGGAGATTATAGTGTTTTTCTTGGTGCTGGAACGCGCGGGCCAGCTAGATTTTCACTAGTTCGTAAGCTTCGGCCAATCGGCGATGCATGTGGGTCGGCGGCGTTAGTTCGTCGCGCGGCGCATCCTCCTCGGGGCGGCGCAATTCGCGACCGTGATTTAAAAACGCGGGCGTGTAGCCCGTCGCGTCGTGGGTCGCGGTATAATAGGCGAACTGGAGTTCTGGCAGGTGTTCGTTCCAAGCTTTGTGTTTTTTCGCGTACTGCGCGATCATGGTCTTGATCACGCGGTTGGTGCGTTCCACGGGGTTGCAATGGGGCGCGTACGCCGGCGTAAAGCGGAGGCGGATTTCACAGTCGGCGAGAAGTTTAGCGAGATGCCGGGATTTTAATTGCGTGCCATTGTCCGACAGGATTTCGTCCGGGCATCCGTGTCGGAGGATAATGGCTTCGGTTACGTGTTTTACGATGGCCGGCGCGGTGGCCCGTCGTAATGGCCGGAGCTCGACTCAATTCGTAAAGCGGTCCTGAATGTTAAGGAGCCAGATATGGCCGGCGGCGGATCGCGGGAGCGGGCCGACGAGGTCAAGGGTGACCTGTTGCCACGGATGGCCGAGCGCGGTCGGGTGTAATTGTCCGGCGGGTTTCTCTTGCGCGACCTTATGGGCGAGGCACGTCGGGCACTCGCGGACGTAACGGGCAATGTCGCGGAACATCCCGGGCCAATAATATCTGTGCGCTATTCTCGCGATGGTTTTTGCTATTCCGAGGTGGCCGGCGGTCGGTGCGTCGTAATACTGTTCGAGGAGCGGTTCTCGCTGGTCTTTCGGTACGCATTCTTTCCACTGTTCGGCTGCTGGGGTGTCTTTGAAATCCAAGCTGTGGAGCACGTGCTTCCACAGCCGGCCTTGGTCGATCCTGAAATCGGGCACCTCGTGGGGCGTATTTTCGGCCGCGCGCCACATGCGCGTATGCCATGGGCACTTAGCTCTTGTGACGCCTAGGATTTTGGGTTGTCGGGATAACGCGTCGGCCACCTTGTTGAGCGCCCCTTTTCGGTATTTGATCTCGAAGTCGTATTGTTGTAACTCAAACGATTATCGTCCCAACCGGCCGGACGGGGACTCTAGCTTTTGTAGCCATTTCAGCAACTGGTGATCGGTGATCACCGTGAATCGGTACCCCTCGAGGTAGCCGCGCATCCGTCGGATCCCCCAGACTACTGCCAGACACTCTAGTTTGATCGCGCTATAATTCCGCTCGGCGTTATTTAACGTGCGGCTGGCGTAAGCGATCACGCGCTCGCCCTCGGGGAAGTATTGCGTCAGCACGGCCCCGAGGCCGTTGGTGCTGGCGTCGGTTTGAAGATGGAACTGTCGCGAGAAATCTGGGCACGCGAGGACGGGCGCGGTCGTCAGGACGGTTTTGAGGGTTGTGAACGCGTTTTGCTCGACGTCCCCTCAATTCCACCGGGTTTGCTTCCGGGTCAAGGCGGTGAGCGGCGCGGCGAGAGTCGCGAAATCCTTGATAAAGCGGCGGTACCATGATGCGATTCCTAGGAACTGTCGGATCTGGCGGACGTTTTGCGGCGTGGGCCAGTTTGCAATGACGCTGACTTTGTCCGGGTCGGTTCGGAGTCCGTCGCGGTCGACGATGTGGCCGAGGTACTTAATCTGATCGGCGCAAAATCGGCACTTCTCGGGGTTAATGCAGAGGTTGGCCTTCCGGAGACGGAGGAAAACTTTGCGCATAATGCGGAGGTGTTCGTTAAATGTTTCGCTAATAATGACGATGTGGTCTAAGTAAACGGCACGTGCGGTTCCAGGTCCGGGACTAAGATCGTATCGAGCAGACGTTGGAATGTGGCCGGTGCTGAATGCAGCCCGAACGGCATCACTTTAAATTGCATTAGTCCCTTGCCGGGGACGGTGAAGGCGGTCACGAGTCGGCTCTCTGGCGCGAGTGGCACCTGCCAGTAGCCGTCTTTCAAATCAAGAGTGGACAAGTAGCGACCCCCCCGCAGCTTGTCCAACGTCGCGGTGATGTGAGGCGGCGGATACGCATCTTTCTCGGTGACTTCGTTAACCCGGCGGAAGTCGATACAGAAGCGGGGTTTGCCGTCCTTTTTCCGCACGATGACAACTGGCAAGCTCCACGCGCTATGCGACGGTTCGATAATGCCGTCGTGGAGCATCTTGTCGACTTCCGCGTCGATGATCGCCTGCATGGCGAGGTTTCGCGGCCGGTAGCGCTGTTTAATTGGTCGGTCGGTCTTGACGCGTATCACATGCTGCCCGCGGTCGGTGGGGCCTTGCACGGTCTCGAACTTTGCGAGTTCGACGGCCAGGAAGCAGCGGAGGCGTTCCTCCTCCGTCAGTGCGCCCCCTCGGACGCGTGCTCGATGGCGGCGGTTTGCGTATCGGCGTTGGGTGGGCCCGGCGAAGTCCATCTTTGCCCACAGGTCTACGCCTATCAGGACGTCGCAATCTAACATCGGCATAATCTGGAACCGGTGCCAGAACATTCGTCCCTGCACGGTGATGGGGAAGGTGATTAGCCCCGGGATAGACGTGCTCGACCCGTCGGCGAGGTGCACCTGTCCGTTAACCGACTGGATCGGGAAATCGCGGGCTATTAGGTCGGCGGTTTGCGCGTTGACGAACGAAGCTTCGGATCCGGTATCTAGGAGTGCCTCGAACGGCTGCTTCGATGCTATCACAGTCAGGTGCAGGCGGGGCGTATACGCTATTCAGAGGACCGGTGGGCGGCCGCTTCGTCCCCGGCCCGAGCGGCATTTTCCGGCGGCGGGTGACAGTCTTTTGTGAAGACGCGATCCCCGCCGCACTGGGAACAGAAAAGGCGCGGTGGTCGTCGGCAGTCGAACCGGGTGTGCCCTCTTTGCTTACACCGCCAGCAGCACTCTCGGCGGTCGTATGCTGCGGCGGCGACCGCGGGCGGCGCACAGTGGGGACAAACAGAAATTTACTGTTCAAAAATCGCTACAGACCGTAATTCTTAACCAGTTAGTTAAAACGTTTTTTTTTTTTTTAATTAATTGTTAATAAATTTCCACCAAAACTGTGGAGTTCGATTTTTTAAAAAGATTCTTTAAAATAAACAATATTAATAACAATTTGAAAATTATTTTAACTTGAAGTTAAATTAGAAGAATTAAAGTTACTTTTGCATTGAACTAGTTTACGTAACAGTTTTTGAGGTCACTGAATACAAATCTGTTAGAAACAAATGTTAGAATTAATATTTTACTATTGACAGTTGTTCGGGCGTCGCTTTCCGACGGTCGCCCTGAATCTGGATTCCGCTCAGAGTTGAGCGAGAAGTGTGGATAACGCGAGTCGTAAATTCGCGGGAGGAATGAGAATTAAAGCACTCGGAAAACAGATTGCACAAAGAAATATATAGTTTTTATTTCAAGTAAGGAAAAGACGCGAGGGGGAACAACGGATCGTGCGCTGCGGATTCGGAAATCTTCTGAGTCGTTCGTAATTTTCTGCCAGGTATCGCGAACGGAAATTTTGTCTCTCGCATCGAAGCCTCTCGCGGAGCGGAGATCTTGTACGCGTCAAACGGAAATTTTGAGCGCGCGGCAGAAGAACGATCGCGAGCGGAGCACGACCGGAAGTTTTCGGACCCCTCGCTAAGTAGCACACTTAATGAAAAAATATAAGTAACTTTGATCCGCACTTTAAGACGAAACGAGCGAGTAGCGATTCAAGCAGCGATTTAAGAGGGAGAGAGCCGTGCTGTCTTTAGACGAGGATTGATACGCGACGACTTTCGGCTATGAGTTCTGGCCCACGACTTGAGGCTAGGAATCCTCAGCAACGACTGACTGTCCGGCGAGCGAATTCGCCGTTTACTCAAGAGGGTTGTTTTTCAGGAACGAACGCGCGATGGGAGCTGAATCGCTATTCGTCCGTATAATCACATCACGCGTCACAACAGCCGTTTCCGTGGTTCGACAAATAAGGGAGCACTCTCGTAACGCGTGATCGCGATCGATGGGCTTTGAGGGCGCGGGGATCGCGGGGAACGTATATTTCGAACAAGTTCGACAGAGCTCGAACAACATAAACATCGGTATTTCTCGATGTTAAATGTAATAATGTTTTCGAGCCAATGTTTCGCGTAGGAAAGTTCGACGGATCTCGAACAACAGTCGTCAAATTAAAAAAATGCATGTTTTGGCTGAATATATTCTTTTACTCGAATTATTTTACATTTGTTTTATATTTATTTATTTATTACTATATATATATATTTCATAACGTTTCGGTCCAAATTCGGACCCTCTTCAGGTGAACTCTTTCACAAGCATTCGACAGGCAATTCGTGACACTGTACCCGCAAGTCAGAAACCGAAGACTAGGCAGAAAAGGAATTCCATTTTTGTATTGCGATCGCTTAAATATTATAAATAACAAAGAAACTATAAAAGTAAAAAATCTAATAAATGACACATGATTTGTGCGTTGTCAGTAAAATATAATAATGTCAGTGTGAAGGCGCGGGTCCAATGGAGATCCGTAAACCTAACCCTAACCGTAAGACCGTAACCGTAAAAGTTGGTTTATTTGAACTTTTACATACCACGGCACGTACCACGGTTATGGTAACAAAGAGAGGTTAGTTCAGAACGTTACATTCAGAACGGGTGTGAGGTTATATGTTTACAATGGACTTGACGGACCAACGTTTAATTGAATTGGTAGAGAAATGTTCTCATTTATACAATAAAAGCAGTCCCGATTACAAAGACAAATTAAAATCACAAAATTCGTGGTGTAGCATTGCAGAAGCGTTGAATGCAACAGGTATGTACATGTATGCATTATCAGTTTTATTTATTTATTTAGTTCTATAGTAATACAACATTGTGTACTATAATTTAATCATACATATTATTATGCAGCTGCTGACTGCGAACACCGATGGAGCCAATTGCGAGAACGTTTTGTTCGTGAGAGACGTTCTTTAAAAGCAGGGCTTCCATCCGGTTCAGGATCCTCAAAACAGTCAACGCCTAGTCATCTGTATAAAGCTCTGCAGTTCTTAGAACCTCATGTTCAAAGTAGAAAGTATGTAATTTATATAAATATTATCCATTCAAGTATGTTCACTAAATTTATTATATTATGTATTTATATTTAGCCTTTTTACACACTGTGTCCTTGCAATGCAGTTTGCTGAAAATTGACTTCGTATAGTAAAAATATTTAACAAAAACATACATGCGAATAGAAGTTTTTATCCGCATTTGTACGTTTCTTAATTAAAGACAGCCGACTATGCTATCAGGACATGATGTATTAAACATTATACACAACACATACAATAAATACGCATGTAAAAAAAGTATTTTCCAATTATTTCAGGACACGTGGGAATGTTTTAAAAAGAAGCTTGTCACCATCTGAAGAATCTACACGTGGGAATGTTTTGAAAAGAAGCTTGTCACCATCTGAAGAATCTACTACATGGGATACGCTAGAGACCGACGATCCAGATGTGATTGAATATCTAAAAATTGTAGAGCATAACAAAAGCAAGCATGAAACACCACAAGTGAGAAATGAGCTCAAAGAATCAGATTTGTTGAAAATAAAAATGGAACCATCGGATGAAAATAATGTCAATGTACTGAATGTTAAGACTTCAGCTGTCAATAAAACATATACAGACATTGTAAATGACAAAACAAGAAAAAGTGTAAAAACCAATGTAAGTGTCAATGATGATACTTTACAAGTTGTTTCTGAAGCATTACAGAGTGTAAAAGGACTATGTGAATCTGCTGACAAGAGCGATAATGTTGCCTATAACTTTTGCATGACTACGTACAGTCAATTGAAGAAAATGTCGAAGAAAAAGCAAAAAATCGCTCGTTCCAAAATCCACACCATCATGCTAGAACTGGACTCTGACTCAGAGTAAACAGTATTTTATTTTTTTTTATTTTGTGATTCTATCCAAAGAAGTTGGTTTTGTTTCTTATTTTTAAAAGTTAGTTATTTTTTGTAAAAATGTTATTACATATTAGCTGTAAAAATACTATATATATACTATACAGATAAGACATAATATATAAGTCCAAGCTTTCCAATTAGAAAAGTACTTTTTAGAATAGTATTAATGAATGTGATTTAATCCAAAGAAATAAGTTTTAGTTTTATGTGTTGTTAAAGTACAATCACATGTGTAAATGAGTCTAAACACTTTTAAAATTGTCGGCTGTTAATGATTTCAAAACTTTCAAACTATCTTTACTATAATTTTGTGCAATGTACGAATTTCTTTTTCATAAATGAATGTTACATAAATAAACAGCATAAAAATGTTATAAATGTAGCAGTTTATTATATTATTATAACAGAGACTTGTAATGTAGCTGTTATCCAAAGTTTATTAAAGATACAATATGTAATACGTAATAAGATTGTTATTTAATGATAATAAACATTCTGCAAAATATACGTTGTTCTAAATAGTTAATATTTTCGCGAGTTGTACAATTAAAATGATCCTCTCGTAATATATGCTTCTTGCCACGAAACTGCACCTTCTGGAGAAATTAAGTACTCGGCAAGCGTGTCACGTAAGGTAACATTCTTGCGTGTAGCATTATTAGCTCCCATTCTTCCCATGTTCCTAAAGATGATATTCTCTTCGCATTGTCTCCACTGTCCAGATATGACATTCCCATTGTTGTCCCATGTATCAGCGTAATTTGGAGGACAGTACGTAGCATTTTCTGATTTTGAGATTAATTCTGACATCCAGAGAAAGTTATGAAGGCACAATCCTGCACACACAATCCATTCCGCAGTATCAACATGTGCAATAATTGTTGATCGGAAGATTCGCCAACGACTGGCCAAAATGCCAAAAGAGTTTTCGATAACACGTCGTGCTCGAGAAAGACGGTAATTGAAAGTTTTTTGTGTTTTGTCCAATTTAGTTCCAGGATATGGTCGCATAATATAGCTTTTCAAAGGAAACGCTTCATCTGCAACCATATAATATGGAAACTTTGTGTCGGTTTCTGGTAAGCAGCTATCGTCTGGTATTTCCAGTTCGTTGTTATCAAGAGCTATTCCAAAAGCTGATTCTTTAAAGACTCCTCCGTCACTTTGTGAACCAAAAGCACCAACATCAACAAGAGTAAAAATGTAGTTAGCATCACAAACTGCCATTAACACAATGCTGAATGTTTTTTTGTAATTGAAGAAACTGGTCCCAGTATTGTAAGGAGCTTGTACAACGATGTGCTTTCCATCAATCGCCCCGAAACAATTCGGCATATTCCACAACTCTTGGAAATCTCGTGAGTACCTTCTGAAATCGTCAGCAGTAGGTCTTGGCAAACATATAGGCGATAACTTGTCCCATATAATCTTACAAGTGTCACGGATAACTTTGCTCACAGTTGGTTTTGACACGTAAAAGTTCCATGCAACAGTTTGCATACTGCAACCATGAGCAAGATAACTATAAAATAAAATATTCGTAAAATAAAATATGTTATAATAGTTTTAAAAAAACACATAAATCATTGAAAGTATTACAAAATATACTTACTACAAAGTAATACATAATCGATGTTCCGGCGATAAAGGTGTTACGTCCAGCGGACTCCACGATGTCCCTTTTTCGCGGGAATT